CTATGGGTCTGTCATATATGGCTTGTATCATTTTTAGGTATGTCCCTTCTATGCCTATTTTCTTAAGTGTTCGTATCATGAAAGGGTGTTGAATTTTGTCAAAAGCTTTTTCTGCATCTATTGAAAGAATCATGTGGTCATTGTTTTTGCTTCTGTTTATGTGGTGAATTGCATTTATAGATTTACGTATGTTGAACCATCCCTGCATCCCTGGGATGAAGCCCACTTGGTCGTGGTGGATTATTTTTTTGATAAGTGTCTGGATTCGGCACAAATTTTGAAATAGTCTATTTTTCCCTTGATTTTGTGGTGGAATTTGACTATACACTAATACAAACTATCCAAGAATAGTAATTTGTTAAGTGACATTGTAAAAGTTAAGTAAAATCAAATATCTGGATCAGAGACAAAAAAGATGAAAGAAACCCACATCTTTTTCTGCTAATACAATATATTAGCAGAATGAATTAAATGAATAAAGTTTTATATGAAGTAGTAATAAATGATTCTAAAGATAAATAATGTAGGACAAAAGATAAAGAGTGATCTGGACTACTATTTGGATACACTTGAAAGAACCAAGTATGTATTTAGACAGGCTATGATGGGGCCCTGGAATCAGAGAGTTAGATTCAATTTATCCCATTCAAATAAACATACAGAGAGGATTGTAAAACAAACACAATTTCAGAAAATATAATCAAGACTTTTCTTTCAACTACTTTCCTTTTTCCTGTGAGAGTACCACCCTGTGCTTTTCTATATAGAAGATTTGGAGACTCCACAGTTTACAGGTATTTGAACGTTGTTTCCACTATTGGCATCCTCCCTCCCCTTCAGTGCAAATATAACCTCCTTAGGAAGACAAGACTAGAGAAGAATAATGTCTTGATGATGATACTGCATGTTGAAGGCTGAAATAAAAACAGATGAGACTTGATTTGTACATAAGGAAAACATTTCTTGGTCTGGTAATAAAATTCTTTTAGGATAGGATGCCAAGATGTCATTTTCTTTACTGTAGTCACTTCAAACTTAGTAAGTTCAAAACAGAGTCCATCATGTCCACCTTCAAATATATTGTTCTTTTGTGTTCCATCATCCACTCCAAGACAGGAAAATGACTTCTTAGATTATCCCTCTCGTCCACTCTCCATAACCACACAAGGGCCAAGGCCAGCTGTTCCTGTCTTTAAATTATACTGCAGCCTCCCCCCATTTCTCACAGCCAGTTCCCTAGACCTGGTCACTAGCCATCTTTCTGTATACAGATTGAGTAGCACTGATCTCAAAATCCAAAATCTGAAATGCTCCAAAATCTATTTTCTGAGCACCAACATGATACTCAAAGGAAATGCTCATTGAAGCATTCTGGATTTCAGGTTTTTGAATTAGGGATGCTCAACTGGTAAGTATAATATAAATATTCCAAAACCCAAAAACATCTGAAATCTGACACAGCTCTGGTCCCAAGCATTTCTGATAAGGGATACTCAAACTGTTCTATAACAGCTTTTTTCCTTTTTCTCTCCAACCTCTCTCCCACTCTAGCCAGAATGACCTTTTTCAAATACATATTTAATCATATCACTTTCCTGCATAAACCCCACTGATGACTCTTCATTTTCCCCAGGTGTAAAGTTCCAACTTCCTAAATCACAGCTGAGTGTTGGGCACAGGATTGGCCATTTACACTCATTATTTAAGAGGTAATAAAAAATGAGCAAACAAAAAAACCTTTCACCCAGAATTATATCTCTCTAGCTGGATATGATACATAAACATTTCTATGCAGATTTTTATTAAAATGCAGGTAAAATGAAGGAAGGAGTAACGCCTCAGGCTACCAACATCTGTGTGACGCAGTTTTATCAGATCACCTAGTTTTCTTCTGGGTGAGATTTGGAAGGGTAAGAGGTATTTCCAAGAAATGGAAGGCATCAAGTAAAGCCCAAAATAGCCAAAGAGAAACAATACAAAGAATAAAGGATCAAAAGTTAGAAGCATGATCCTAGGAGAAAGAAGAGCAAAATGACAACAAACCCCACTTTCTTACAATTCTTCCCTGAAGGTAAAATTATCTGTCTAGGCGCTAAACTGGCAGAGATCAAAGTTGCATTCAGATAAGTCTCTCTGACCATGATAATGATAACAACCATGAATAGGCCTAGCAGCTTTGTTAATACAAAGAGTGAAGCAGAGGAGTGTTCCTACAAGAACAAGAGAGATCAAGGGCAGACAAGATATTTGTCTTCAAATATCTCAATGACTCTTACACACTAGATGGGACAAATTTTGTATTACTACAAAAAGTAAGATTAACTCCAGTAGTTAAAAATTCCAAAGAAGCAAACATTAGCTGACAGGTTCTCTGAACTGTGTGGTTTATGCTTAGCACAAAGGCACTTGGCCAAAGAGATGGGTAGATTTGCCGTCTAACCAGTTCTCCTGAACAAGCAGCTAGGTGACCTTGAGCTGAATCAGCCTGGAAGAAAGGACACCTTTTTGGAAGTCAACACAGAGAAGGTACCTTTTCTTATCTGCACAAAGGCACTGTGACTCTGAACTCCAGATAAGAATGTTAGACAGTACTGTCCAGAAACAACATACTCTGCCTCTAACTTAGGTGGCCAAGCCAAGGATGAGTGGTTACTCACAAGGAGTACCACACACCTGTACTCCACCCACATGGAAGAAATTGAATTACATGGCCTCTAATGTGCTTTTCAGTCTAATTTCTCTGTTGCCTTTACTTTTTCATCTAGTGTTCTAAGAATTATCCTATGAATCTATGATCTCTGAAAGTATCTTTCATACCTTTAATGGTACAATCTCTAAAGTTTGTTTTATTTTAGGAACAAGAAATAATATCATATGCCACCATAGGTTTATCATTCATGCTCTTCTTTGATTAGTGCTCCAATATGTTATTAGGAAAAATAACTCAATTCTTTCTAGTTTCTTCCAGAAGTGTTTCTGATGCTATTAGTAAATAAGATACTACATTGGTGGTGGTAGCAGAAAGGAATGCAATTTTAGCTCAAATATTTCAAAAGATGTTGATCTATATTCTGAAATATTCAGGGTTTCAGCACAAGCTAAAATGAAAAAAGTATTTTTATTAATGTGGTAAGATCCATTTTAAAAGAAATTTATTAAAAATTATAGTATTTTAGAATGCATATATCTAGCTATAATTTTTCAAATCATGACTCATATTTACACAGTACTATTTCCTAATGAAGTCATCATCATATAGTATTTTTTAATTCATTTCCATTGGGACACACCAATGCACACAAAGAAACATTAAAACAATGGTCACACTGGATATGCAGAAGATATGTACCCATTCTGCTTCACTCTTTCATATATTTTTTCTTTCAAATAAAGTGTGAATCGAATATTATTACATAATTCTATGAAACTGAAACTAAAAGCATTATGACCACATTTCTGTAGCACTTTATAACACACAAAGTAGTTTCAAATATATTATTTGAACCCCTAAACAACACAGTAAGGTAGACAGGAAGACTAAAACTTTTCAAATATCTGCATATTTATTCAGCCCTTTGCACAAAATAGGAAATATTTTATATAAATATTTAGCCAATATACATACTAAGATTGTTTTAAGCAACGAATGTAATTCTATAATTTTGCCTGTAGGAGGAGTGTTAGGCAGCTAATAATTAGCCATCCTATACAAATATGTAAGCAAATTCTAATTTTGCTTTATGTAATAGTCTATTGTTTTTATGTTAAACTAAATATAATACTATTTACAAATTTAGGGGGGGGAAATCCTAGAACATATTATTTTCCAACATAATTGATTTAAAAAGGAACATTTTGATGATTTTTGTCTACCCTTCTCCCTCTCTTTCTAATCCTTATTCTGCTGGTGGAGTCATTCTCACCACATCAGATTATAACACTATGATAAAAAATTTATACCAACTGTGGATCAATATATGATGAGCAAACTGCTGACTGTAGCATAAAGACTCATCCATAATTTGGACTAAAACTTCCTAGAGTATACATTGTTGGGAGCCTTCCCAGAAGCCATTTTGTCCTTCATAACATAACCCAGATTCAGTTCCAGCATCTTTAGCCTTCAGGACAAGGGGTCTAACCTCAGCCCCTGGGAAGGGTCTTGATGATGGTAAAGGGAATGATTGTTCCAGGTTGGGCATAGATATTATACTAGTACAGTCAACTGAAAGGAAATAAATTTTAATCTATCTTCAAGATTAAAGCATGTTGGGTCCCTCTCTCTCACATACACCTTTCCCCACTAGATATGAATAAGAAAGGATCCAATTCACCGGCAGATGTTTAATAATGATAGAGTAAGATTTCAGATGAAGTCGAAACTGAGAAAGGCTGAGCAAAGTCATGGAACAAACGTCCCAAGATATTACGGGTACAATATTATCTGTCTCCCACCACCACAACTTGTTCATGTCCACTACCCTGCCTGCCTTCCCTTACTTTTTGCTTTCTCTGCCTCTTAAAAACTGTCTAGTTCAAATGCTTTCCTTGAGCTTCCTGATCAAAATTAATATCACCTCTGAGATGCCATAGTTCTTTTATGTATATACCAATTATAATAGGTTTAAATATCCATTTGAATCCCTAATAACCTAGAAGTCACTCAAAAGCAGGTATGATAATTTATTCATCTTGTATTCTGTATAATGTTTAACACAGAGCAAGCATTCCATGTGAGATTCTTAAACTGAATGGTAGATAGTAATATCCATTTCAACTGTTTTGTAGTATTCATATATTAAATCAATGATAAAATAATTATTGAGTTTGCCCATAACTTTATTCTATTTTTAATTGTCTCACCCTATACAAATCTCAAAGTTTTCCTTCAGCCAATCTTTGAAAATCTTCAGTAGAAAGGAACAACAGATCTGAGTTTTCTCTCTTCCTTATAAATCTCCTCTAAGCCGAAAGTCATAAATATGAAAGGTTAACTTCTTCACTACAACTTTAATTCAGAAATTCCTCTTGAGTTTTTTGCGGTTGTTTCTCTTGAAGCTCTATCATAATAGATGCTTTTTGGGGTGGCTGACCTTCCCACAAAGCTTGCCTTCTTTTTTTGGTGGTGGGGAGAGGGAATTCCTTCTACCCCAATCCATCAAGTCAGGAGGTATGAGCTTCAGTGACCTCATTTACATTGTGAGACCCATCTCCCTTCACTACAGCTGAGCAAAGCCAGGTCACTCTGAATCCCTTCCCCTGGAATCTAGGAGATTCCAATTGCATTCTGAGTTTGTCTCCTGAGTAGCCTTGTTTTATAATATTCTTCATCGATTAAAATTTATTATATTTTATATTTTTCACTATGTGTTAGTGAAGCTACATAGATATAAAACTAGAAAAGTTGTAATTTTTGATAGCATCAACTCTTCTTCTCAGTCCCCTGCCACAGGAAAATAAAAGTCTCAAGGAAACAAAGGAATTTCGTCACCAAATTAAAAATAAAGGCTATTATTAACCCTCTTTCTATTAATTTTAGCATCAGCAAATTTCTATTTTCCTTGGCACAAACCTAAGCACATTTCTGGGCTTAGATGATGAATTTAAGCTTCTGGCTTTTCTAAACCATCTATAACCAGCAGCTAATTGCTTAGTTTTGACCTAACCAGCAGGGGTCAGAATCAGAACAAAAACAACGTAAGGAGAGATTCTATGGAAAGACATCAACTATAAAACTGAGCAAAAATCAATTCCTTGCCTTAACTGCAAAAACAATGTGTAAATAGCAAACATGTCAAAGAAGATATCAAAAAGTGCACAGCTCCCTTTAAAATCATACTTAACAATTATGTCTGAAAAAAAAAGTCTGAAAAAGACCTAAAGAGAAAATGTTTATATTCTAGTAAAAATAACACAATAAAAAAGAAAGTAAAATTATTAAATTATAACCCTGGAGCTGGCTGCAGTAGGTTATAGAAGACATAAAAATGATTTAGACATTATGAGTAGCTTTTCAAGTTTCAGTTCAGAATAAATTCAGGTTATCTTACTTCCATGAGTATGTTTTGTAAATGACAAAATTATATTATGAAAATGACTTACTTGTTACATCAGTCTTTATTCCTGCAAGCTTCAACAGAGGTTCAACCTTCTCATCATAGATCTGGATAGCTTCTTTTTTGTGACTTTGGGGATTAAGGAGTATTTTTAATGACTTTGGTCTGTTTGAAAAACCTAAGAAGAAAATGTAAAGACAAAGTTATAAAGTCTCTGTCAGCAGTTTTTTCTTTCCCTTTAAAGTGACACACAGTCTGTTAGAACACATTTATATAGTGCTTGTGATTTTTATTTGAAATTTTTGCATGAGTATTCCTGAACATGACATTATTTTAAAACATTTATGTTTTCCTAGCAGTTAAATAGGCAAATCACTCTTAAAATAACTCATGAGTTGTAAAAGAATTAATTTATGAAGGAAGATGTTCAAAAAAAGCAACTTTGTGAATCTTAGCCACTGCTTATGTATATTTGCCAAATCACAGATAATTTATCAAATGTTCCTTTAGCATTTGTTTCTGCAAAAAAGCAATGGACTGTGACAAATAGAAGGGTACATTTCCTCTCCTTAGCTAAATGTGCTCATTATTGGAATTGGGCACCCCAGTGACCCCAGGGCTACCAACGCCTGACCTACTGATGAGTCCAGGGCAGAACAGAGTGAGCAGGGATGGGTCAGTGTCAGCACCCAGAGCAATGCATGCTGGTAGCTAAAAAGAGGGCTTCGGTCAGAGTTCAAGCCTGAAAAGGGGACAGGGGAGAAAGAACTCCTCTGGGAATTGGGAAAGCAACGCCTCTCCGCAGGGATTCGATGATAGTGCTGCCTCACAGTTGGGGCTGAGATTTGATACTACAATTTTCTGGGTTTGCAAGATGCTTATCACTTAGAACCCAGTTGGAGCAGGTGCAAAGCAAATTTTCTGTTGTTAGGAAGGGGCTGGAGGGACAGAGGAGCCAAAAGCAAGCTGACAACCGTTTCTTTTATGGTAAGCTGCTCTCAGAGGGCCACATTTCAAGATTAAAAAGGCAGTTACTAACATCCATTTTTAATAAAAACCATTACTAAAGACAAGTAAAAATTGTCCACTACATGAAAGTGTTTCATCTCAAGTGGAGACAATATTTCATGTCTCATCATATTTAACACAATAAAATATTTCAGCAGCACATACTATTTTGAATTCAGGGAGAGTTTTGGGTGAGGAAGAGATGGGGCCATGCTGAACTCCTTAAACATTCCCAGTAATCGTACTCAATGCCTTCCTTTTTCCAATTCCCACATTCGAATGAGTGCCCAGATTCACAAGGCAGTAGCTACTTGCTTCCAGGCCTTCAACCCTCTCTCGCTGCTGTCTTCTGACTCGGTCACCGCATGGGCACCCTTGCTGTCCTCCCCTTCCATGGCATCCTCTGGAATCACAGCTGTAATCAGTGCCACACTGTTCAAAAGCAGCTGTGGCTCCTGCTGCCTGCAGAGCAAGCCCTAACCCCTTAAGATGACATTCAGAGCCCTCCCTCTCTCAATTCAAACCAATCTCCTCTCCTCTGCCACACATATTCTAGAAACATTTATTCAGCATTTGTGCTAGGAACTGGGATGAAGGGCAAAGTGATTAAGATGTGGTTCATTATTTAGAGGAGGAAAACATATCCACAAATATAAACAACACAAGGCAGTGTAGACTTGTTAACAGAGACGTGCAAAGTATAACAGGACTGTGTGAGAGGAGGGTGATTAATTCTTATTAGAAATCTGGAAAGGGCTGCAGGCAGGGAGTATTTGAGCAGGGCTCTTGCTTATGCTGTTTTCTCAACCTAAAATTCCCTCCTTTGTTACCTGTCATCTCATCCCTTGACAAAACAGCAAGGATAGAAATTGTAGACAGTGACACCAGCATGGGAAATGCACGAAGCGATGAAACTGCAATGTTTTCATGTTCCATTTCAACTTTCTCATCATGGTCTGGACCCACTGTATTTTTGCCAAATACCAAATCTGACAGTCCTTCCTTTGTTTGGGCAGTTTTTCCTTTCTGCTCCACATCATCCTCACTTTTGTCAAAATGTTATTCAAAGTTCACTTCAAATACCACTTCCTCACTGAAGCCTTGCCAAATCACCAACAGAATTCACCTCTCTGGCTTCTCCACTCCCACCTTACTCTAGGTATCTCTATTATCTATTTTTATACCATTTATACAAAAGCCTCTGACAAAAGTCTTAGGATTTCCACTATCCAATCCTAAGACAATACAAAATGGCATAACAGCAATTATATATTATACAACATTGAATTTTCTATCCATTCAATTCCATGAATAATATAGACACTAAACAAAGAACAAGCAGGGAACATTCTGTCCTCTGGTAGAATAATAATATGGGAGAATTATAGTGAAAAGAAATCACTATTTTCAGCCATTATAATAATTACTGATTCAGGCAACAATCACCAATGGATGCTAAAACCATCCAGTGATGGTTAGTTGGGGACAAAATATTTATATATTCTTAAACCCTGTCCCTTATCATCACTCTAATTACAAAGGGTAATATCCTTTAATGGGAACTAAAGAGATGACAACTAAATGCAATGTGTGATTCTAGATTTAAAAAAAAAAAAACAAAAAAACCACTGTAAAGAACAGAACTGCTGTCCTTTAACCAAGAAGAACTAAGCAGTAAACCTAGGGCTTATTTTTACTATTAGTAAAACATGGCAGGACCAAGAAACTTGCTTAAAGCCCAAAGGAAAAAATCAGATTAAATATCCAGATTAATTACTTTCCTTTGTAAACTTATCAGAATACTGTTTCATTTCTCAAGCAGAGGCAGTCCCAGTAAAGATGATGTCCCATAAAAACCAACTTTTATTTCTTCTCCTTCCTATACTCATTCATGTATTCACAAATGATTGCCTACTTGCTATGTGCCAGGCAGGGTTGTAGAACCTAAGCCTCTGTCAGTGAAAAAGGAAATTCTCTGCCTTTATGAAGCTTCCATTCTAATGATAGGAGACAGAAATCAGAGAATTTAGAGTATGTCAAGGGGCGATACGTTCTAAAGACAAAAATAAAGATCAGTAGTGAGAGAGAGGGAAGGCGAAGGTGGGAGTGACCCCCTGGCCAGCGAAGGTCAGATTTCCTAGAGCCTTGTCAGCATATACAAGGACTTTGGCTTTTGTTGAGTAAGAGAACAGGCATGGTGGATTCTAAGCAATGCAGTCACATAACCCTACGTGTTAAAAGGAACACTCTGGCTGCTATGTGGAAAGTAGACACAGAAGGGCCAAGGGCTGGCAAACATAAGAACCATGCATTATTCCAGGTGAGAATGATTGTGCCTAGACTGGAATGATTGCAGTGGAGGTTATAAGAAAAATTAGACTGGGCGCAGTGGTTCACACCTGTAATCCTGCCACTTTGGGAGGCCAAGGTGGGAGGACTACTTGAGCCCAGGAGTACAAGACTGGCATGAGCAGTACAGTGAGACACCCTTTGCAATGAAATAGAAAAATTAGCCAGGTGTGGTGGCATATGCCTATAATGCTAGCTACTCAGGGGGCCGTGGCAGTAGGATTGCTTGAGCCCAGAAGTTCGAGGTTGCAATGAGCTGTGATGCCACTGCACGCTAGCCTGGGTGACAGAGACCTTGTATCAGAAAAAAGGAAGGAAAGAAGAAGGAAAGGAAAAGAAAGAAGAAGGAAAGAAGAAGTAAAGAAGAAGTGAAGGAGAGGAAAGGAGAAGGAAAGGAAAGTTAGATTCTAGATATATTTTGAAGGTAGAGCTGGCAGAATTTATTGAGTGTTTGGAACAAGTATGTAAAAGAAGAGCTATGGAGTACTCAAATGTGTAGCTGGGTAAGGGGAAAGTGAAATGAGTTATGATGGGTAAGAACTAATGAAAAAGTGGTAGAATCAATAAACTGTGGTCTCAGTGGGGTTGCAGGATTTTAGGAGTTGAGGGAGCAGATGAGGTAGCTAGGAAAACAGAAGGCAACATGTGGAGAGTAGGATACTTAAAATTGAGACTGAGAAAGTTATTAGTAATGACAATACCAAAATCTAATGAATTGGCTCATTCATTAGAATCATCTGAAATGCTTTTTTTTTTTTTTTTTTTTTTTTTTTTTTGAGACAGAGTCTCGCTTTGTTGTCCAGGCTAGAGTGAGTGCCGTGGCGTCAGCCTAGCTCACAGCAACCTCAAACTCCTGGGCTTGAGTGATCCTTCTGCCTCAGCCTCCCGAGTAGCTGGGACTACAGGCATGCACCACCATGCCCGGCTAATTTTTTATATATATATCAGTTGGCCAATTAATTTCTTTCTATTTATAGTAGAGACAGGGTCTCGCTCTTGCTCAGGCTGGTTTTGAACTCCTGACCTTGAGCAATCCGCCCGCCTCGGCCTCCCAAGAGCTAGGATTACAGGCGTGAGCCACAGCGCCCGGCCTTGAAATGCTTCTTAAAGTACAGATTCTGGGCCTCAGCCCCAGAGTTTTGAGCTCAGTAGTCAGGGGTGGAGTCTGAGAATTCATATTTATTTATAATAAGTTCCCAAATGCTGATGATGTTGGTCTGGAGACCACACTCTGAAAATCACTGCTATAGAAGTATGATCATGGAGGATGTGAATAAAATAGAGTGAGTGCAGGTCAAGATCCTTGAAGGGGCTGGGCGCGGTGGCTCACGCCTGTAATCCTAGCACTCTGGGAGGTCCAGGCGGGCGGATTGCTCAAGGTCAGGAGTTAAAAATCAGCCTGAGCAAGAGCGAGACCCTGTCTCTACTATATAAATAGAAAGAAATTAATTGGCCAACTAATACATATAGAAAAAATTAGCCGGGCATGGTGGTGCATGCCTGTAGTCCCAGCTACTCGGGAGGCTGAGGCAGAAGGATCACTCAAGCCCAGGAGTTTGAGGTTGCTGTGAGCTAGGCTGACGCCACGGCACTCACTCTAGCCTGGACAACAAAGCGAGACTCTGTCTCAAAAAAAAAAAAAAAAAAAAAGATCCTTGAAGGACAGGAGGCCAAAAGCTGAGAGAGCACCTATCAAAACACATAAAATTATAACAGGAGTCGTGCCCAAAGAGAGTGACAGTGAGATGAGAGCTTCAGCCTTCAAGGACTAAAGAAAATAGATTGATCTTCAGTGCTGAGGATTTTTAAGATGAGGAGGAG